GGTTGATTTTTCATAATGATCCACCGATCTAACAATAAATAATCATCCAATTATCTGTTTTTTTTTACAGCTACATGCGCGGCTGATTAAAAATGAAACAAAAATCTATCGACACGGCAACTCGCCAGAAAGCTACGAAACGCAGCGGCGCTCGAGTTATGAAATATTAATATTATCTAAGAGCGTTTCTCCTTTTCTCTATTTTATCACGGTATATATACGTTGATTAGATTATTAATATACATATAGCGCGGGAGAGAGAGCGCATATTTCAAATGACGTCTCGTTCAACAACAATCATTTCCTCGGTGCGATTTGCTCTCTCCTTAACTACATCGAGACTACGTGGAAGACGCCGAGGAGAAAGTGTAACTGTTAAAGTAATAGTAACGACGTCGCTGTGTAATCGGGATTGCACGTGCAAACGTTTCCGATAGTTGTCGGCAAACTCGATTCCGTTTCTTTAATGTTCTTTCGTCGTTGAATCTAAATTCGCTCGGAGAAATGTGTGGAAGAGAATCTCTCAAAGCGGAGTTTCTGGAACGCACGAGTCTGAAAGCGAGGCTCCTTAATATATATACCTACTTTTAATGATTCGCGATAATCATCGAGATATAAATGGTACAATTAACAACGTAATTGACGTCGATTGCACCATTCGTTAATTAAGAAACAAATTAAACAAATGATGAAACATTATCTCTTATGAATTCTTTGATGAAATAAATACATTTACATATATATATATATGTATTAATTTATTTCATCTCCTTTCTTCCCCCCTCCCCGCTTCCTAAATTTCAAGACAATTTGACGCAAAATATTTATGTAAGATATATATAGGGGAAATTTGATTTTTTCTTATTTGCGTCTGCATGGAGATTAGTCCGATTTTCGTCGCGGTATAATTAATGTGTACGGCTCCGTGTAAGTAATTATAAAGCGAGGCATCAATTGCGCGATTGTATATAAAGTTTAAGATTCCTGATTAGATCTGGTCGGGTTCAATGAGGGGGCGGGATTCCAAATTTCAAACATGAAAACATCGAATGACGACGTACATTGGTATAATTTGCACTGGGTGCCCGAAAAATAACGATTCATCAGACCAGCCACACCGCAAGATTCCAAAAAATTGACGATTTTCTCAAGTTCTATGCGCGAGAAATTCTAAACTTTTATAAAGTGAAAATGTATATTGGAAAGCGAGAATTAATCAGCAATTATTTTGCTCTAAATAAAGGTTATCACGGCGATAAAATAAAAGTGGCAAGAAGAATATAGATAAAATATTTGTGTCTTTTTATTTTTCATCATTTGTTTCCATATTATACGGAATTTTCGATAAATCAAGAGAGATGCTCTATTTTGCTCACTCTGTATAAAAGACGGGAACCTACTTGGCTCGCGGACGGTACTTTCATCCGCCAAGTGAAAGCAATATGAAAGTGCCTGATTGTAAAGTAGAAAGGTGAAATGTACGATAAAAAGACGATGTGCCGTTACGTGCGTGTGTACCAGTCGACCCATTTGAGATTGCGACGAGAAAGAGAGAGAGAGAAAAAGAAGGAAGGGGATGAGATCGATTGCGAATAGAGATTGCGTTGCAGGTAGCCCTTGATTTCGATGTCTAAGGACAAGGACGGATCGACATTTGTCTTTAGCGAAAAAATTAATCCCTCGTCTTTATAATTATCGATTCGTGAAATAAACACAAGAGCGAAATTTTATCACGCGAAGTAATTGGAGGAGGAAAACGTTATTGGAGCAAATCTCCCTCCTTCTCTCTTGTTCTCTTTCTATTTCGTGCGTGCATCGTGAAAAAGTATAAAAATATTACAATTTGCCGAGAACGCATAACTATATCTAAATTATTGTAATATCGCTATCAATAATGAATTATCTCGATATGAGGTTATTTCATTCCGGCACGGGTCAGCACGACCCGTGCCGATAACTTTTACATTTCTTTGAGATGAAGCTCTTGCATAAAGGTTGGCGGAATAATGAAGGAAAAAAGGAAGAAGGGAATCGCGGCGAGACGTATTAAAAGTTTATGGCTTTGCTCCAATTTCGAAATATCTTGTTTTAATTTGTACATTAAATGTCATAAAATTGTTTAATGAATTGTAAAGTAACTGTGTAACGATCCTCGGAGAGAGGAAGAGTTAAGATATGAATGACATTCCGCTGCAACGATGCAAGAAGTGAGAGGTCAAAGCAATGATTTGACCGTTGACGCGTTTACGCCCCTGCTGTTTTTTTATCTACGATTCAGTAACGTCGCCATCATGCATATCTTTATTTTTGCAGCGATGTAAACGAATCCTATAACAAGAGTTTTCTAATAGTTTTCCGAGTCGACAAATTTTGTTTTTAATCCAAGTTGATTTTGTAAATTTGACAATAATGAAGGAAAGCTCCGTCCTCTCCGATATTTTTTATTCCTTTACAATATTGTGTATTTTTGTGTATGACGCACGAATCTGTAAATTAAATTTATCGATCTTAAATAGAAAAAAATATTATAGTGGGTTTTATCCTCTAGCTCCGTAGAGGAGCTGGATTTTAATTTAGATTTGCGTTTCTCATGCACAAAAACGCGAACGAAAAATAGTAACGCGAGTCTTTCGAAGCCTCTACGCGAGGATGATGAGGAGGCCCTGGATGCGGCATCGGCCAACAGCGGAACTATATAGTAATTTAATTTTTTTATTATTTATTATTACTATTTTTTACTATTAAATTCAATGTAAATAATTTTATTTTTCAAAATATTAATTATTTTTTTCATTATATATAACTATACTATTATATTATATACTATAGTATTATAATTTCCCTGTATTTTTTTTACAGTTTACAACTCAGTTTACAGTGGTGCGCATTGGTGAGTCTCACCAATTTTTATTTAAATTTTAGATAATTATTTTGTAAAAATCCTCTCCAATTTTTGTTGAATTTATCGCTCTTAAGTAGAAAAAAAGACAGGAAGTGGATTTTAATTTACAGATTCACGTTTCACACACGAAAATATACAATATTGTAAAGTTTCTGCAAAATCAAAAAGGAGCTCTCCTTCTCATGTCAGTATTACCACAAATTTTATAATTTTATAATTTGGAATTTTTTTTTACAAAAAGATATGAAATTAATTTTTAAATATTACAAAATGTTGAGAAAAAACAAAGAAATGTCAAGCAGCACTTTAATGAATTTTTTATGATTTTTTTTTATTTATGAGAGTTGCAGCAACATTTAAAATAAATTTTGAAAAGTTTGCTATTTTTTACTTGCATTTATTTTTCAAAATGTTATCTGTTCTCGCAAAGAAAAAATTTATTTCGACAAATTCATAAATGAAAATACATATGTACGTATATGCGAACACGATGTATATCGTTAATCGATTACGAAAGATTACTGGAATACGAAATTGAAAAGACTTTTTCTATTCGCTCGACCAACAGCTTAATCGACTTGAACGTAATTTCGGTGTAACTTGAGCGTATAACCGATACTCACGTATTAGAGACAGGAAATCTTAAACTACTGGAGAAAGTAGCCTTCGCAGCTACTTGGCAATGTATACATATCGCTACTGCACACGTGCAGCGTGCTAAAAAAACTAAATAAAACAGCTCCTCTCTTTGTTTCTCTTGGCTATACGTGATCGCATCGAGATACTCCTTTTTTCCTCGTAATTCATATAAGCGCAGCATCAACGATGCACGTTCTTTTTATGTATTTTCGACTTTAACATCCTGGATTTAATTTGAGTTTACTTTGTAGAAGGTTTACTTTGCGATTGCAAGACAATCGCGATTTCAGAAAATTGAAATAGGATCAAATTCAAAACTTTCTTAATTTGCTTTTTTTTCAATTTCTCTCGAATTTGTGATATATAATTTATTTTGTAAATATAGATTAAATTTTAATTTTTAATAACATAGCATTCAAGCAATGACTCTAACGAATGTCGAAAAATTCAAACGACGTCAATTTTCTTCATGTGCATGCTATTCTGAGAACGAACATTTTCTTTCTCGACGCCTACATGGTGTCTCGGACAAATAAGAATAAAATGTTGTGAACGAGAATGGCAGAAATGTTACATTACGTAGATAATTAGTCAAAGAAAACTGTATAGATGCCTCTCTCCCTCTCTCCTCTATATTTTTTTAGAGTATTACAGCACAATATATTTTAAATATAAAATTTTCTCTGAAAACTTTTTTATTTTTTTCATTTTATATTTTTTAAATAGATAGAATAAATAATTTTTCTATTTTATAATGTATAAATAATTTTGAAAATTTAATTCGGATTATGAAATAACAAATAGTATTTTCTACTTTAAATATTCTTATAGCAACATACAATACTGTACATCTTATATTTCAAATATTATTTTGATTATATTTCAAATATTACGTGTAATCTGCAAAAATAAATTATTTCAGGCAGCTCAATAAGAGGTATGATATATAATTACAGAGAGGGAGAGAGAGAGAGAGAAAGAGACACAGAACATTTTAGTAGTCACATTAAGTGCACCGGTAGTTTAAATATTGTTAAGTACACGAGTACAAATTTAAAACACTTATTTCCATTTGCTCTTTAAATAAATAGCTGCGTATATAAACGTATCGTATTGATAAATTCGACAGAGACGTGAAAGAAGACAAATTAATCCAATTTTAGACACAGACAAAACTTAATTAAAAGTGATACGTGAACTTAATTGTTCGGAAAATAGTAAACAAAATTAATTCATTTCCAGTTGCTAAAATAAATATAATTTTTTATCATTTATCATAAGAAGTGTTAAATTTGTAAATTAATATTATGTATATTGATATGTCAAAAAATTTTTTTTATCTTTCTAAATTACAAATATGTACCTATATAAACGCAATATAATTTTTTATTATTTTTCTAAAAATAACAGTCAATCATTATTTTCCGAACAATGTAACATAAACAAAAAATGAACTCACATTGCGTTGAGTCGATTATCCTAACCTCTCTGCTTTAATACTCGTACGATATATCCGCTTTAATGTTCCACTGTTGCTCTGCTATAATCCCATATGGTTTGGCACTGATCACTGCACTGTTTTTTCTATTATTTTATATTTGCAATAATTATTTCTCGCACTTCACTACACACAGATGCACTTCGAAATAAACGGACGATACAAAAAAAAAAAAAATCAGTCGCGAATGCATTCCGTGACATCGCGAAGTGAACGACAAGTGTCATGGCGAAAAGACACTTGCGCGGCATCACTCGGCGACGCTCGGTATCACAGTATTTCAAGCAACGGTCGCCGCTCTCTAACAATTTGAGTTGCCGGTTTCGATGATTTCGTGCTTCTCTGGTATTTTCTCCGATACTCGAGCACCCTGGAGATGCTGGAGTACTCGCGGAAGCTCCTCGTCGAGCGGATAATGCCGAAGTATCGCACGAGAGTCACTGTACATGTCAAAATATAGACGATATTTCAAGCGACAGTCCCTCCCCTCGTTCCCCTTTCCGACTTGCTAATTCCACGAATTCGCGATGCTCCGAGACTCCTGGACACCCGTCGATGCCGGGATGTCCTTCGAGGTGACAAAGAATCCTCCCGAGGTTCTCTGGCGAGCGAATAGCGCCGAAATTCGCGCGAAAATCACGGCGTAACGTCGGAGACCCCGGGTCCCCGTCGACGCCCGGATGCTCTTCGAGAAGATGATTCGGTTTATCGCGTGGAAACACGACATTCTCGGATTTACACTCCCGTTTATTCGCGCACGAAATCCAAACAAGGAGCACTCGCGACACGTAACCTGCTCCCTCGACGCTAGACTCGCACCGACTACTGGCGCTGGGGCACGTCGTGACGTCACGCCAGTATCGGCCGATTTCATTACTAGACGGGGGAGCTTTCAACGTGTAAATAGTAAATAATATAATCAGCAAGTTTACATAATTTTAATTCTCGAATTTCAATTATGTACACAATTTTAATTCGTCGAACTTTAATTATGTACATAATTTTAATTCCCGAATTTCTTTAATTAGTTACAATTTCAATTATTTATTAGAAATACGACAAATAAAAATTATGTATATAATAGAAATTCGGGAATTAAAATTATGTACATAATTGAAGTTCGGCTAATTAAAATTGTATACATAATTGAAATTCGGCGAATTAAAATTATGTAAACTTGCTGATTATATTATTTACTATTTACACGTTGAAAGCTCCCCCGTCTAGTAATGAAATCGGCCGATACTGGCGTGACGTCACGACGTGCCCCAGCGCCAGTAGTCGGTGCGAGTCTAGCGTCGAGGGAGCAGGTTACGTGTCGCGAGTGCTCCTTGTTTGGATTTCGTGCGCGAATAAACGGGAGTGTAAATCCGAGAATGTCGTGTTTCCACGCGATGAACCGAATCATCTTCTCGAAGAGCATCCGGGCGTCGACGGGGACCCGGGGTCTGTGAGGATCGCGAATTGATGGACCGGAGGAAAGGGAGAAGGACGTAACGCCGTGATTTTCGCGCGAATTTCGGCGCTATTCGCTCGCTAGAGAACCTCGAAGGACATCCCGGCATCGACGGGTGTCCAGGAGTCTCGGAACATCGCGAATTCGTCGAATTAGCAAGTCGGAAAGGGGAACGAGGGGAGGGACTGTCGCTTGAAATATCGTCTATATTTTGACATGTACAGTGACTCTCGTGCGATATTTCGGCATTATCCGGTCGACGAGGAGCTTCCGCGAGTGGTCCAGCATCTCCAGGGTGCCCGAGTATCGGAGAAAATACCAGAGAAGCACGAAATCATCGAAACCGGCAACTCAAATTGTTAGGGAGCGGCGACCGTTGCTTGAGATACTGTGATACCGAGTGTCGCCGAGTGATGCCGCGCAAGTGTCTTCGCCATGACACTTGTCGTTCACTTCGCGATGTCACGGAATGCATTCGCGACTGATTTTTTTTTTCTATCGTCCGTTTATTTCGAAGTGCATCTGTGTGTAGTGAAGTGCGAGAAATAATTATTGCAAATATAAAATAATAGAAAAAACAGTGCAGTGATCAGTGCCAAACCATATGGGATTATAGCAGAGCAACAGTGGAACATTAAAGCGGATATATTGAAGCAGAGAGGTTAGGATAATCGACTCAACGCAATGTGAGTTTATTTTTTGTTTATGTTACATTGTTCGGTGCTAAAATTTAATACGTGTACGTCTTTTGTTATCCGTTCGGTAAATCGCTTTCGGGAATTTGACAATTTGCGGGGTACAACTGAGGCTTTCTTCTTCCTTGAAATTGATAGACGAAGGATCGTCACAGTCTGTCGAATGAGTTGACAATGATATTATAAGCATTGTTGGAGAGATTTGAGAGCACATATATATGTATGCATGTAAAAGAATTTTCTATCTCGCGATTGTTTGATCATCTAATTATTGTAAAATTTTTGACTTAATCATTTATGAATTTATAAAATTTTGGTTACTTGAAATGTGCAATTAATTGCGTCATTAATTTTCTTCGTATAAGTTGAATCAAAACGTATGTATTAATAATTATATATTTTGTCGGGAGTGTTGAATTTTTGTCGTGCAATGTTTTTTTCGCGAATGAATGTCTGTTATTACTAATTGTAAGAAAAATGAATTACGTCCTCCGACATTGTCTATCTGTGCTAAGAAAAAGGGATTAATCGACACAATTTTTTAGAAACATGTTGAGAGGACAACTGGCGATTGATGAGTAAATTATTTGCTATAGGTATTTGTACATATTCTTTCACCCCTTTTTATTTATTCAATTGATTCTTAATAATAATTATCTTTTGATCATATTTTTACATTAATTTTTTTATGTTCTTTTCTATATTTTTCTACACTTGAATTTAGGTAATCTTACATATTGAAATGAGCTAATTTTGTTAATTATTGATAAAATTTACATCTCACAAATTGTTTCAATTTTCACACATGTACATTCTGAATCGCATGCGCTTTGAATTATATTATAATATTGCGGTTGCTTTTGAATTTATAATGCTTTAAAGCATTGTTATTTTATGCTCAGTTATGAATAATCCTTTTATCATTTCAAACGTATTGTTTGTGGTTATAAATCTTTTTTTATTTGTTACACATATACGCCAGTCTGTAAATACGTACATTACATATACGATGAATGTTTTATAGCTTCAACTTTAAAAATAAATTCAGAAACTATAATTAAGATATTCGTATTTTCAAAATAAAATAAAACTGAATTTCATTTTACACCAAGAATGGAGAATAATTTTAGAAAAGGAGGGACGATCTTGATCTGGATCTTATACGGAAAATACGCGTGTGCGGGATAATGAGTTTTCGAAATGGATAAAAAATGTATTTTAAAGCGTTACATATCTTTGGAATTTAAAAGCGGTCCTTGCATTTTAATTCAAGTATATACACATGTCCTAAAAACTATTTTTAATATACACAATCAAAATAATTCGTGAGACCATAATATGTTTTATGAATAATTATCATTGTGCCTCTAATTTTTATAAATACGTATAGGATAAGAGTGAGTCTTATTTTATTCCACTGTTCTTTCATTTTAGTAATAATTGATGATTCGTTATATTATATATGTATATTACTTTTCATCTCAATATTAATAGCAATAACAAGTTTCGCTCGCTTAAAAAAACAAAATATAAACAATTTTCGATGAAGCGAGGAGCTCGCTTGAATACAGATAAGATTTGTCGGGATAAAAGACGAGATATTAATCCGTCCCGCGCCGGGACAGACTTATCATCTATTTTTCACCAACGATCGCTTATCGGTGCACGCGCGTCTCGTGTGCCTCGTTTAACCACCGATATTTTGCGACCGGAAATACTCGCTTTTATCACTTGCATTCCTGCAGCAGTGATGCAGAGTGCGCTGCGTCTTATCGCGAATCACGTTGCACGATGAGCTAATTCTCTCCAATCATTATCTCTGTTATACCATTTATAAAACATATAGTGTACAAAATAAATAATTAAAATGAAATAAATAAAAAATTTATTTACATACAATGAAAATATTGAATAGGTGCGATGTAGTAAATATTTTTTATTTATTTAGTTACATACCTATTATTTATAAAAAAATATCCAATGTGTTATATATTTTTGAAAACTTGAGAGCGCGAAACGCATGCCGGCGGATTTTTTTCGTACAACAAAATCGCAAGTGTTTAATTGAGAAGACCGACAGAGATGATTTTTTTCAAAAGTTTTGCAATTCTGGCAAACGGAGAACGTGCGCACAAGCGCGAAAAGAGCTTTCGGAAATGGAAAAGTAGGTCAATGAAGCACGTGTATAGCAAACTCGACCGAGTTCGAGGTCGTCCGTTACATACATGTATACATATGCACAAATATACCTATTAGCTATTATTTACATTATTCTTTTCTCTCTCTCTCTCTCTTTGGGATCCAGATCCTGTTAAAGTTGATATACGAAATATACCTTATCGCAATAGCGTAATGTATAAAATACATAATACGAATACGAATTGTGGTAACGCTACTCGATTACAAAATGCCGGTTTTCTGTGTGGAAATAAGAGATTATCTAATAGAATCATAAGTCATATGTCTACGATTTAAATATCTATTTTTTTTCACTGATTTTTCTTATTTCGAATAACGCACGTTGCTTATCAAAACGAAAAAGGCATAATTTCGCGATCTCTTCCTTTCTTTCTCTTTTATGTTCTACATCGAAATCTCTAGCTACTCGTTCTCCGATGCCATTGTACAAAGATATAAAACTTGATAATCTGCAACTGTATAACCCATCTCTCTCTCTCGATGCGACTCGTCGGCCAATTATTTGCGTACGGCCAATCTGCTGATTTATTCTTCGTTACGAGATAATCTCATTTCCGACGAAATGCTAGCGGCGCAATCTAATTATCAACCGCCGCGTATTTCCTCTCCTCGGCCAACGACCGTCCAATTAATTCCCTGTTTTCGAATCTGCGCTAATTTTATCGACTACCTCCGTCCATTTGTCGTATTTAGCCTTATTCTTTCATAGACTACGCTCGATTTAAAAAAAAAAATTGATTTTATCTCATATAGCTGTTGTTTTATAAATCTATATTTTCCGCTAATTATTGTATTTTATTTCAACG